GAATTTTGGGAATGATGAGGGCAACAAATGTATAGGTGTGCTTTACACAATTGATCTATGTATTGTGATATAGTGTATGAGCCCCAATAAAATGATTTTTAAAAAAGGAGGAGGAGGAGGAAAAGCAAAATTGAAAAAATAAAAATAAAAAATGATTTGTATCAGGGTTATGTATTTTCATCACAGTTTCTTAATTTGTATGCTGAGTGGATATTCCAACAAGCTGGAGTATATTAAAAAATAATATGGCATCACTATTGGAGGAAGACTCACATATGGCATCACTAATGGAGGAAGACTCACTAACAACCCGTAACCTGTAGATGACACAACTTTGCTTGCTAAAAGTGAGGAGGACTGGAGGTACTTGTGCTGAAGATCTAATGCTATTAACTCAACGTAAGGCAAACAAAAATGGGACTAATAGATAGCGTCCTGATAAATGGAGGAATGATTGACGTTGACCTGGGTTTAATTTTGCTTGGATCCATAGTCAACGCGCATGGCAGCAGTAGCTAAGAAACCAAGTGACTTATTGCTTTGGTCAAATCTTCTGCACAAGACTTCTTTTAAAGTGTTTAAGAGCAAGGATGTCACTGTTTTTTTAAAGATGTTTAAACAGTTTTATTAGCACTTTATGCGCACATCGTAGAGTTCAATAATTCAGTCCAGGGTGTCACCTTGAGGACTATGGGTCCCCTAATCCAAGAGCTCAAGCGGTGAATTGCACTGGGAAAATCTGCTGCCCAAGACCTCTTTGAGGTGTTGAAAAGCTGAAAATGTTACACTGTGGTCTAGAGTTCTCCTGGGAAAAGCCATGGGATTTTCAATGACCTTATTTGCATATGAAAGTCGAATGTTCAATAAGGAAGATGTAAGAAGAATCGATGCATATGAATTATGGTGCTGGTTAAGCATTTTGAAAGTAACATGGACCATCAAAAGACCAGATTTGAGAAGAAATGCAGCCAGAATACTACTTACAAGCAAGGATGGAGAGACTTTGTCTTTGGACATGTCATCTCTGGACATGTCATCAGGCAAGACCAGTCCCTAGAGAAGGACTTTCTGCTCGGTAAAGTGGAGGGACAGCAGAAACGAGGAAGGCCCTCAGTGAGATGGATTGGCACCATGGCTGCAACACAGGCTTCACACATAGGAACCATTGTGAGGACGGCACAGGGCTGAGAAGAGTTCTGTTCTGCTGTACATAGGGTCACTATGGGGCCCAACTGACTTGATGGCAGCTAACAAGCCCAATACAAGCCCTAGCAGTTTTCAATCATGCCATATGCCTGTGAAAACTGGAAAACGAATAAAGAAACCTGGAAAACATTTGATGAGTTTGAATTATGTTGTTATCAAACAGTATCTAAAGTAACCTGGACTACCTAGCAGAACATACCAATCTATCATGGTTGGAGAACAACCAGAATGCTTCTGAGAAGTGTGGTTGTCAAGACTTTGTCTAATATACTTTGGATATTTTATTAGGAGAGATCAGTCCCTGGGAAAGGATACTAGGCTTCTTCAAGTCGAGGGTTGGCGAGAAAGAGGAAGACCTTCAATGAGATGGACTGACACAGAGACTGCAGCAATGGGTTCAAACACAACAACAAATGTGATGATGGTGCAAAACCAGGTGGTGCTTTGCTCTGTTGGACATAGGATCCCTAGGATTGGAACCCACTGGAAGGCCCCTAAGACAACAGTCTTCTGCCTCTTTATCTTATAAATCTGCTATGTTCAAATGTGAGAGCTGAATTCCTCAGGCCATCTT